TGAAAAACAACGATGTTATCAATTTATTTCCATTAATTCTATATATAATTTTCGATCCCTCCTATGGCAGCTATATGATAGAGTTATCCGATTTTGATCAAATTTAATCCGAAATTCAATAACAGTTAGAAAACGCCATCTTGAAGAATTCAAGTCGATCTGATGAAAAACAATAGAGTGAGAATTTTTTATTTCATTCTCTTGTATTGGAGCTATCCGATATAGTCGGCCGATCCGGCCCGTTCCGACATATATACTGCGTGCAACAACTACACAACTTTTGGGAAAGTTTCAGCACGATAGCTTTAAAACTGAGAGACTAGTTTGCGCGGAAACGGACAGACGGACAGACGGACAGACGGACAGACGGACAGACGGACAGACGGACAGACGTACATACATATTTCGATTCTGCTCGTGATGCTGATCAAGAATATATATACTTTATGGGGTCTGAGGTGTCTCCTTCACTGCGTTGCAAACTTCTGACTGAAATTATAATACCCTTTTGCTCTGCAAGGGTATAAAAAAAAACCAACTAAGTTAAGCTCAAACAAAGGCGCCGGTTGCGGAAAGGGGGAGTGGCAAAAAGGGGGCAAAAGCCTCAAAGCGCCAGCCAAACGCCCGTAAAGCTTTCAATTAAAATTAATAAAAATTTACACGAATTAAATAAACACCGACTTGGTTCAGCAGCAGTTGGCCCGGACAGGTGCCACAAAAGGTAAGTGGTACAAATAAAGGTAAGACAACAAAGCGCAGAAACGCTAATGAGACGGAGGAACTGTCACTGAATTAAATTGCCCCCACATTAAAAGACAGACATTCCCAATTTCAATCGCTCTAACGAAGATGCATACATATAATATATAATATTTTTGCAAGCAAGTTTGTTGGCTGCCCAAAAATCATTTTATCTCAACAGATTATTTTTTGTTTCTAGCTCTATTATAAATTTACATACCAACTTTTTAAAGGAATATTTTTTTTTTCATTCAAAGTTAAAGATAATATATAGTTATTATGCAAAGATGGTTATTTCGCTATGCGGACGGTCAAACCCATTTGCCGAATGTAATTGAATTGGTCGTGTTAGTCCGACTCAGCAAAGCATTATGTTATGCGAAACGTGCGAAATGTTAAATTGATTTTTCAATTAAGACTAGTTTTTGTTGTGTGTTAAATTGTATGTCCCTGGGACAACAGTTAAAGCATTAATTGCTGGATTTCAGATGGTCAATAAACGTTTTTTCAAAACTAAAATTCAATCAAATTTGCGTTTGCATAAACGGGGGAAGCGAGGAAGGGGGGAGGGGAGTGGCACGAGTCAAATGCAACTTTGAGGGCCCAAAGGACCGGGATAAATAAAAAAAAAAAATAGAAGAGAAGCCAGGCAATATGTAACACGCATCCGGCTACGTGATACGCTTAACGTGACATTCGCATCCTCCGCCGTAGAGGATGTCTGTCGGTGACACATTAACCTGGAACGGAGGAGAAGGAGAAGCAGGAGGAGCAGGAGGAGCAGCAGCAGCAGGAGAAGGGGGAGGAGGAGCACCCACTGACTGTCCACTGGATTATATAAATTGAATTGTTTGGTACAACATGGCCCCGGCCATTAGGCAGGAAGCTAGAGCGGAACCAAAAATGTGTGCGTGTGGGTGGCGTGTGGAAAACGCTCAAGGGTTCCCCGCTGATCCAAAGCCCTCGTAAGCCGGCCAATCGCCAGACAAAATAATAAAAGGGAAAAGTACAAAAAAAAAAAAAGAAAGAAAAACGAGAGAAGGGAAGAAATGAAACGAAAAGAAATGGAAAGAAAGGGAAGTGATTTCACTCGAGTTTCCTTTGCGTTCGATTTTGTCAGTTCCTTATGGATTTATGGGGCTCACTCGGCGAAGGTAAATAAGTGGAGCTGCCCTCTTGCACTAATCAGACACTTATGTCGGATTTTGGGACGTCCGATGTCGAAGGAGCGACGTACGGTGTACGATGTACGACGCCCGAGGAGGGCCCACTCGGCGGATACGTAATTTGAGCAGCGATAGAAAACGGAGCAGAAGGACGACGACATAAAAATAACAAATTATTTTGCTTATTTCGATGTTTACGGTTCGCATTCAAATTTTGTTTTATGGACATTCAATGGCCAATACGAGGGAGCATATAAAGTTTCGCCAGCATACATACAACCACTTACACTGCAAGAAATAGCGAAGGAACGAACTCAAATCATACTTAAAGTGAGCAACCCTTGCAGATATAAGATTTGCTTTCGATTCAGCAACCTCTTTTCGCTGAGTGAAGCAAGTGGAGCATCAGCTAGGATGGCCATTAAGAATGTTTGTCCCATTTATGATTCATGAATGCTCTTTGTTGCTGTCATCGGACCAATGAACTGTCATCAAATAGCCGGCGTAACTTGAGCATCAATTTGGACTTGTTGCCATCGATGTTTGGGCATTTCAAGAGTTCACTTGGCATCGCTTCAAGAGTATCGAGTAAATGGGTTTGCTTTAACGTTCCGAAACGCTATTGATGCACACGAAAACAAACGGTAGGTGCGTGTAAAATTAATTACAGTCCCATTAAGTGCACAAACGCAAGATTTTGATAAACAGAAGGGCCAATCAGCGCAAAACACTTCATTTAAATGGCTGCACCACTTCTGTCATGTGCACTCAATCCCTGTTAAATAGTTGAACACTGTGTAAAGGACACTTCTCGATAATTAATCGATTTAATCGGTCAGCTATCGATCGTTTATGGTTGGGATTTTTCGCACTTTTAAAACTATTGTGACTGGGGATCTGCGAAATCTTTCGACCAATGACGTTGGCCCAACTGCATGGAACATATTTCTTCCCCGGATTACCTGTCCCCCCACTTCCCCCATGCAGTATCGTTCGTTGAGGTCGTGGGCAGTGAAGCATCCAAGCAGCCCAGTCAGCCAGTCAGGCAGTCAGGCAGTTAGACAGTCAGCCAGTCAGCCAGCCAAGCAGTCAGTCAGTCAGGCTGTCAGCGCACAAATGGCGCCACAAATGTTTTGCCCTTTTTTCGCAATGGAAGGATACATTTGTAACTTCTATTGATTTTTAATGCACGCCTTCTGTCCTGCCAGCCAAGGCGTCGTCGTCGTCGTAGTCGTAGTCGCAGTCGAAGTCCTCTCGTTGTCGGTCCTCGGAACCAGCCAACCCAACCAAGCCATGAACTTTACAAGGAAGCCACCTACTCGGGCCCAGACTCTTTAACTCGTCTTTCGTCCTTCGCCGTTCGTCCTTCGTCCTTCGTCCGCCGTCCTGTTATGTCTCAATTTTTGCCCCCGCCTTTCTTGCGATACTGCGCGAGTGTACGGATGGGTGAGAATTTTAATGCTTGTAGCTGAGAAACAAACAAACATGTCACAGTCGAGGGAACTGGCCGCAAATCCGCCATCTTCTTTGGCGATGCCATTTGCCATCGCCCCACTTGATAACTTAATGCCCCACGCATGCTTCCACATCCACATCCAGATCCACAGCCCCCATCACACATACGCAATTACCCGTACACACGGACTGACACTCACGCAGACAGACAGACAGACAGACAGACAAACAGACACACAGTGAGAGAGGCATACATAGGGACGTACAGATATGGTATCCATCCGGACGGACAGCTTTATAAACAAGCAGGCAAACAAGCAACTGAATGCCGGAATGCCGGCTATGCATTTGCGTATTCGAGATGGGCGCGTGAAGCCGCTGATTAATAACCATCGAAAATCGGTATGTAATCGGTGGAGTTCAGTTACCGATAAGTAAACGATCGAACAAAAGTTCTAAATAACCGAATAACTACTCAAGGCTACTCTCTTAAGTAATAAAAGGATTTTATAACAACACTAGCAGACCCGGCCACGCGTTGCTGTAGCTAAAGTTATTGTTATATTACATTGAAGTATACAATTTAAGAAGAACGGTAGGTAAGGTAGATAGTCTTAAGTCTCTAATATTTATTATTTTAAACTATAAATATTTTCAATTTAAATTTAATTTAGCACTAATCGGTGTACAATATTTCTGGTTAACCTGTCTTTAGCTAACACAAATAGATTTGACGGTTTTCCAACACGTGAACATGCAACATATAGTTGCCCATGAGAAAAGCACGGACGGATTAGATTTTTTCAGCGGCATTTTAATTTATTATTATAATTATGTGACAATACCTACATGTATATTTTTTATATCTATAGAATTTTGAATAATGAAGCACAGATAACTAAAAAGCAGGAATGATTTCACTGTTTTATCGTCCCTATAATTTGAATTTGATTTACACTTCGGTCTACGTACGTGGTTGGCTATGCTAACACCAAAAATTAAAAAAGTAGAAATAATTGAATTTCACTCTATTTCGTTTACTACAAAATAAATTTAATTTATACCTTAACCTCAATAACACGTGGTAATCAGGCTATTGTCGGTTTACCATAGCAGCAGGGTTGCCAACTCTACGTCTTTTTACGTAGATCTACGTACTTCAAGCCTTTCCTGCAAACCTACGAACTTCAGTCCCAGAATCTACGTATTTTCTATCAAAATTGTTCATAGCAGTGCCATCTATTGTTTACTTACTCAATCTAATCGAAAAGTATCGACATCTATTAGATTCTTTTGGAGTTACCAGATAATTGTGACTTTCAATTAATTATAAACAAATAATTAGCAATAAAATAAAATTGCGACTTCAATTAAAGATCTAAGCTATCCTATCTCTCAAGTTGGACCAGACTGCTCATGGTATGCCAATTTAATTTAACATCGGTTAAGTAGTTTAGGAGTCCATCGCGGACAAACATCGTGACAGGAGATTTATATATATAAGATTTGAATTTCTTTTTGGGGGCATCAAGTAAGTATTTCGATTAGGGATGAATTTTAAAGATTGTTATTTTTTTTCAGGGAGATGTTTGCCAAATATTTCATAAATATAAAATAGATATTGATAGCTCTACTTACGGTTGGAAAAGGCGCTCAGTGGGCGCGTGAGGAGCGTGGCCATAAAGAGGAGCAGCATCACTGGCAGGACAGCCGGCGAACGTCCTTGCAACACTTGTTGTTGCTTCTGCTTCTCCAGCTTGTGCTGATGTTGATAAGACCGTTGTCGTTGTTGTTGTTGTTGTTGCCGCTGTCGCTGCTGAAGCTTCGGTCGCTGGAGTGGCCAAATGCCATCTTGACTGCTCGATTGCAGCGGCATTTTAAGAATGTTAAGCAGATTGCCTGCCCTCCTGATCGCCCCTTGATTATCGTTGCTCGAATATCGTTATCGTTTATCGTTAATCGCTAATGGCTAATCGCTTCGAATTCTCGGCTATTTGGTGTTGCTGCAAATGTTGATGTTGCAAAATCATTGATAGGAAAACCCATTTGTTTGCAAATCAAACTGAAGTTGTGTTTAAACGAAATCGAAAAAAAAAACGAACAAGAACCACTGATTTGGACTTTGTGATACCCTCTAAAGGGATAAATATTTTGAAATGCTAGTCATAATATAAAATACCTTTCTACCAAGCAAAGTTCCTCGAATATACGTTCTCAATGCAGTTGAAAAGGTCCCGCGACAGTTAGAAAATAACTGTACTTCACCTACAAACATTGTTTGTTTCAAAAACAACAACACATTCCATTCGACTATTAAAACAAACCCCCATTTCTGTTGAAGCACCGGGGGTATTATAAACAAATCCGTGTACAATTTAAATCAGACAATTGACAGATTTGAGCATCGACAACAACAACAAAAATGTAAGCACATAATAAATGTTTACACGTTCATTGTATTGTATTTACATGACAAATTTATCTGACACCATTGACGCGGTGGTTTGGGCGCATTACACTGTGGAAAAGTCGTTTAAGTGGGCGGAGTTTTTGGGGGCCAGTGGATGGGGAGTGGCTTGTGGGGGAGTGGGGAATGGGGAGTGGCTTGTGGCGCTCTGATGGCCGCTGGGCGAATTTTACGGACTCGGCTGCATTAACAATTTCGGCGGTGGTGTATTTTGCAGCACCGCCTCGTTTTACGACTTGCCACACTCCGCCGTATATCCTTTAACTTATTCCGAAAAAGTTTTCAACGTGCCAGCAGCATCACAGCGGCGACGTGCAACTCACTTTCAACCAACCACTTTCTCCCCTTTCTCCCCTATCACCCCTTTCGCAGCCTTGGAAATCCGGGTACATAACGCCGGATTTGTTGGGCATAAACGGCATTAATCAGTTTGCGGTTTACTTTCCCAAGTCATCCAACTTTTTGGCTGGAAAGTAAAAGTGCCAAGGTGTAACTTTACCGTTTTGAAAAGTTGCATATCAAAATCTGTCTTCTCTTTTGGGGGAATTCATTTCGGATAAACGTACACTCTTAAACTAATTTAAAATTTTAAGACTGCAGATCACTATTAAATCAATTAGAAATTATTTCTTCAAAGGTATTTATCTTTATAGCTACTTGATCTCGATGTGGCTTCCATTCACTAAGAATTGTCTATTGAAACTTGAAAACTTAATTTAATTGCGAGAGAATCGTTTGAAAACTCCTATATTTGTTAAGGATTTCTAGCACCTTGTGAGCTGCACCTTGCCAGAAATTTCCAATTAAACGTCTGTCGATAAAACAAAGCTTATGAAAATACAACGTGTCTTGCTTAGGGGAGTTGAAAAAGAAATAAGAGGATTTTAGTAACTGGTATTTTCACCGAATTTCCGGGCAAATCGTGTTATGTTATGTTATGCCCACATTACATGGCAAAGCATGTGAATTACACGGCCCAAGGTATGGCTTACATGAAGAGAACATAAATTTAACACATTAATGATTTATGTGAAGTCATATTAAATATTTTCTCTGAAATGAAATTGTTTCCTGGATATTTGCCCAAAGACCGGCAACGAGAGAAATTGCCAGAGACAATTTAATTTGCTCGATTTAAATTAAAAAGCATATTATATGCACAAATTTTCGATGCGCAAAAGCGAGCGAAATCATTGTTCTCTGCAATTTAATGCATTCATGATTTATATGATAATTTAAATGCCTGACTTATGCAAAGTCGCCTTGATTAACAGTGATGTTAAGAATAATTGCCCTTTGCAACAGTAAATACAGTTTAACACCACCCTTCGAAATGGTACGGTTTTGGTTTTCATATTGTCAAGAGCTTTGCGGTTGTGGGGAATCCGCCAAATTAGCTTCTGTGAATGAACTTTGGCCAATGAATACCCGTGGAGCTAAGCGGCCCAAACCAAACCAAAGAATCGAGAACCGTGCCAAGTTTAATCGCCTTGCGGGGGATCTGCGTATTTGCTGTCAACTCGGGCATGAGTTAAGCAATCCTCGAGGCATTAAGTCTGCCCTGCGGTTGGTTAGACCAAATTGAAAACGAATTAAAACGAAATTTCAAACGCTTTGTGCCAAAAGTTTCGGCCAGCTTCTCTGCACCGCGCTACACGTCGAAATACTTTGCCAAAGTACTTAAATTCCTCCTCCTTTTTTCTTTATTTTGCGCAACTTAGAAAGTTCGGTGCGAGTATATTCCCAGGTTTTTTTCACTCACCAGAGAATGCAATTTTCATTTTGATTGGTTTATCAAATAGAAGAGCTCAACTACGATGAAGGTTTTATAAACTTGCAAGTTTGAAGCGATCACACTTTTGATCAGATTATTTGCAACCTGTCCAACTTTCACCAGAAAACAATCGAGGAAACTGCCGCCCAACAATTATTATGTATAGCTTCAGTGGATATTTTTAGACTTGACCAAACGTGTCTGAAAAAACTTTGGTACAGAAACAAAACTTCCTTAAAGTCTTAAAACTTTGTAAAATAAAAACGCAGCTAGCGTATAATGCCAGTTAAAAAGTTTACTACGCGCAGGATCTGACCAGAGAATATATTTGAAAATTGTGTCAACGTATAAAAAGAGTTTGAGACGTGCTTTTAATTTTCATTTGCTTCGAGCTGGAGTTTTCAGACGTTTTACGAGTTTCCCCACTTTGCATTGTTAAGTGCAGGAGTGTCAAATTGACAGCAGAAAGTGCTAAAAACATAAATGTTTAACGCAGGTGCTTCTCCCGGTCCAGCTGTCTGAAGTATGCTTGTAAAGAAGAATGGGAAACATTTCTTTTTGGGTGGCCGGGGCGGTGGCGGTGCTAACATGGCTGATAATGGTGAATTTTATATTGATATCACGAACTGCACTAAATCATCAATTAAATGATTTTATGATGCCATTTTGGGTATTCCTTCCCCAGGCAATTTCAACTGTGGTTTCTGTTCTATATCTCTCGCCCTGCCCCTTTTTTTGTTTCCTGTCGGATCTGCTTTTAGTGTTTTTGCTCTGCAGTTGAATTCCCCTATGACGAACTGACCTGAGTTGCATATTTGTGAGGAAAATGGGGTTTTCTTAGTTTTCTCAGCAGTGGCAATACTTCACTTTTTAAATAAATCCTACGGGGTAATATTTTTAAATTAATAAGGAATTATTTCACAGCATAAGGTATCATTATATTTGTAAGCCTTTTAAGCCCCAACATTTTTTTAATGAGTGTGAAAACGTGTTGAACGACTTTTTTAAAACCCTTATGCTAAAAAAGTTTCCACTTAGGGAAGTTTTCCTGTACTCATATTTTTTTAGACTACACCTGCGGCCATTTTGCCGCGGCCAAGATGCTAACGGTAATGGAGAGACTAACGGCAACGGCAAACGGCAGCAACAACACAAACAACACCAATTCGGCGGAGCGACGGAAATGCAACACTTTTCCTTTTACGCTTCCGTTTTGCAAATTCCCGTTTGTTTTACTAGCTTTTGTTCCTCTTATTTCTTGGCCGCTGTTTGAACAGCGGAAAAAAAATAGCACCCAAAAAAAACGGTGAAAATAATGTGGAGCACAGGAGCGCAATAACAAAAAAAAAAAAGGGGGAACACAACGAATTACCAACATCAACACAAACACAAACAAAGCGCACGCCGGATTTATAATGGCAAAGTAAACAAGCTTACGAGTCGCGCGCGACTTTTGTCCCGTTAGTTTGGCTTTTTGTTTTTGGCGCGCGCTTTTTGGCGCGCTTCTAAGATTTCGTGAGAGAGAAAACTGCGAGTTCACGTGTGAAATAGCGAGAGAGTGGAGGCGCGTCCTACGCCAGACGAACGCAGAATGCAGTCGGCGGCGCAGCTATCAGCGGCTTTTATACGCGCCAAAGGACGAGGACTCGTCTGCCTTCGGCTCGTCATTCGGCCGAAGCTTCGTCTCGCAGCAGGAGGATGGTGGAGCGGGGGTGGGGTAGTGGGTGGCTCAGCGGGAGCAGCAGAAAGAATCCGGGGAAGCGGCTTCGGCTCGTTTAGCATATGTCTGCTGCCATCGACATGGGCATCACTGACACACGTGTGCGTGTGTTAGCACAATGGAATTCAAGAAAATAGCGATAGAAATGCCATGTAATGCGACCCAATTTATAAAAAATTATTAAACACTTTCTATGTCCTCATCACAATTACATGTTTGTAACCCATGGAAACTTATTTAAATCTGACTTAAGCTCTAATGCCTTAATACTTATTTTTTGTAGCATACATTTGTGGGCAATATTAATAACCACAATAAGAAATATTATATGTCCTATATTTATACGGGAAACTATTTTTTAACTTCTTGCAGGCTCACTACTAGCTTTTTATCCCCAGCTGTACGTAAGTGTTTGCATATTTGCTTTATGAATGTGTTTACCAGCAAACTTTGGCGCGAAAAAGAGACGGAACGGCGGAGAGCGCCAACCGACGGGGGAGCGAGCGAGAGGGGCGTGCGAAAGTGCCAACACTCGCATTAATGACGCCAACAACAAAGGCAACAATTTGAATTGTAAGCCAGCCAACAGCTCAATTAACTATCCGTCCGCTGGTTCGTCCCTCCGTCCGTTCCTGTTTGTCCGTGTTGACTTTCTCATACGCATAATTCCCATTATTTCGGCAATTACAAGGATGTAATGGCAATTGCATATGCTTGATATTATTTAACCCGTAAGTGTGCCATCCCTTTCCGGCGCGATGTGAAGGTAAATATGAAAAATGCATCGCAACGCTGGCATTGTCGAAATCTCAATTATTGATGTCGCATATGTACGGGTTAAACTGTATAGTATATACACCAAGGTGTTTTTTCTAAATAATCGAATCAAGATAAAGCTGTTTAAAAACTCGATTTTCTCGACAACATTTATTTCGAAAACCATCAATATCACAGGTTTTTTAACCTATCTGTTCATAATTGAACTGATAGTTTATGTTATCAATGTTGGACTGTACTTGTGTGTTTGCCTGCTGTGCATCTGTTTGTTTGCGAGTTCGCCGAGCAACATAAAATGAGCAGCAAGTAATTTACATGTAAACAGGTTAAGGGATAAAGTTCATCACATGTAAATGGATATGCCTGATTAATGGCAAATATAAACGACATACAGGGACATCTGCCTGTGTGGTAGAGTGGTTGTATCTGTGTTTATTCGCATTTTGCTTGCCCCTTATTGCATCCGAAACTCTGGTATTTAAGTGTCACCATATCAATCAGCGGAGTATTTGCTCACTTAAGATCGAACACGAAAACAAAAAGGGTTCTTTTATGGAAACTAATTTACCCAGAGTAAATGGATACACCTAGAAATCAATTTGAAGAATGAGCATCTAATCATGAGCGTATTATACACATCTCATCCTAATTCTACCATAAGTACCACACGTGCACTCAGTTATAATTTGCAGAAGATTTTCAATCTTACTTGTAATTGCTTCAACTTTTACGGGGAACGTCGAACATAAGGAACTTGCATCGAAGTCCCCTTCAAAGGTGAACCAACCACTCAAACTTGAACTTCCCGGCAGGATTGCACATGCGGGCCAAATTCGATGGCAAGTTCCTAGCCAAGTTAGCAGTAGTTTCATAAGCGAACTCAAGCTGAACAGCTCAAACTTGAACCGAACCGCTTTCCCCCTCGACGAGGTAATTGAGATGGATCTGGGGGCTGGTTGGCATCACATCCCGCGGCTTCACGCAACAAACAGTCCGCACCTGCCGCACTTTGCCGGATCCGGCTCCGGCTGCATTCCGTCCGGAGAATTTTGTGTCACCTTTCGGGGCCAGGGGAAACTGGGGGCCCTGGGTCCTGACAAGTCCCGACATTCCTTCGATACCTCAAATTACGGTGGTCCGTATGTGTGCACTGGAAAATAAGTAACCCATAAATTTTATATTACGTAGTATATACATATATTCATTTATTTAACAATCCAATTCGGGGCACGACGTGTCTTTGAGGGCTGAAGTTAGCCAAACAAATACCAGCACAAGCAGTAAATAGAGTGGCCAACAAAAATCCCATATTATATGCAATGCTTTTCGACGAGTGTCTATAGCCTGTGCAGCTTGCGTATATTTTGCATGACTGGGATAACTTTTGGGTTCATCGACAATGGGCGCCGCCCGTCAAAAGCTCCCGCATTCCTTGCAGCCCCAAGGATTTTCGGGGAACATGTCTCGCATTTCACTTTCACAACTTGCCAACTGGCAAAGCAAGCAGATGGAGATAAAGAATTCATGAATACGTCCCGAGAAATGCAAGAGCAAGATGTACACCTACTACTCTTTATGTATATATGTATATATATATATAACTCGTGACTGGGGAGCACATCCAGGAGTCAGCGAACAATTTGTATTCAAACGATTTGAGAGCTCTCCTGAAAGTAACATCATTAAAAAATTCTCCATCGCCTTGAGTAGCTCGACTCGGGCTTCATTCTCAGGACCTTTTTTTTTGTTGAACCAAGAAGCGGGAAAATCGCACCCCAGAGGCCGCCATCATCATCGTCCGTCCCGAATGGCGCCCACTTTCACTCCCGTTACCGTTACCGCTTTCTTTCCCTTTCCCTTTTCCGTTCCCGTTCCCGCGGGACCGGCGCGAACTTTATTCAAATGCAATATTTCGTAAGCGGGCAAATTGTTGTAGAATATATGGCATGTGACATTCCAGTGCGAATACCGCGTTTATGCTATCAAATTTTACGATTTCTCAAGTATGCAGCTGGAATATTTTCTATGGTAAAATTACAAACGCAAATTAAACTTCGCAAAATTGAAGACTTATCTAGTAGGTTTAAGCATAAAGCTAGAAATATTTTTTGTATAAGGAAATTATATATTAGAGCTACAATTCCATTACAGAAATTAATAGTCAAGTCTCTACATTTGTGTTATTATTTCTTTTGAGCATTAAAGGACTTTCTAGTGGCATGATCGCTTTACAAAATGTGTAGCATACATTTCTGGGCACTTCGAAATCCGAATTATTTCGGCATAAACGTGGCTGCAAAAGCTAAGCCTGAAACAGAAACCAATCCGTTCGCAATCCAATCGAATGCTCGTTACCTCGCCGCTGCCATTTCGATTCTCGCTGCAGGCTGTCAATCGAAGTTTACACGGGATATCGATACCTGCTCCCTGCTCCCTGCGTCCTGCTCCCCCCTGGATCAACTGGCAGTAAGTAGTGGCGGCGAGGGGCCACAGGACAGAACGCCAGGATGGGCCAGAAACCGAAACGGTACCGATTCGAATAGAAAGTTTTCCTGCACCGCAGCATCAGCATCAGCAGGAGCAGGAGCAGGAGCAGGAGCAGGTGCAAAAGAGCCCGTTGACTGGCAGCTCGGTTAGCTCGGTTCAGAGGGCTCAGAGGTCCGCAGGATTCACAGGATTCAGAGGGTCAGGTTGCAATCGCTGCCAGGCAAATAGCTAAAACATTTTTGCCCAGGTAACTTTTTAATTAAAGCTGGCAAAAGGATGCGGGGCCGGGTAGATGGGTCGGCATCCAGGTGACTTGTGCATCAAGCTCCTTTCTCCATCGCCATCGCCATCGCCATCGCCATCGCCATCATCATCATCATTATCATCGCCGGCGTGGTCGTCATCTCATCGGGCAGCAGTTAACAACAGCTTCCTCGATGGCCACAATAAAATGCTTTTGCAGCAGCAACAACCACAAAGCCCCCTTGCGGTTTCCATCTCGATTATAACAGTGGAAATTGGTTAAAAAGAACACAGTAGTCTCCTTCAGTTAACTAAAGTTGCTTGTTTTGAGAAACCGGAATCGAATTCCAGCTACAAACACATTGATTTCTACACAAAATATTCAAAACACTCCACTTTTAACCTACAATATACTTTAGCCAATTCAATTTTTGTTTGCAGGATCCACTGTATTGGTGCCTTGTCCAGCTAGTTATTGCTATTGGAGTTTTCGCATTTTATTCATAAGCTCAGAATCTGGCCGACTGTGTTGAAAGCAATTTCAATTTATACAAATAAAATCAATTTCATTTATGGCTGGGTGCATTTCCCCTCCCCCTTTTTTTTATGGCCCTCTGCAGCTGCAGTAAGCAATTTTTAATTGAAAACAAAAAAAATTGCCCCGCACACACGTTTGAATAAATATTCCCACTGCTAGCCGATCTCCTCGCTCTCACGTACCGGCAATTCCTTTTGCGATCCCCCACTCTCTCGCCGTCCCGTTCGTTTGCTGCCGAAATGTTGAATTATGAAAAGTCACAGGTTACCGTCGCCCTGCTGCCAGCAAAATAATCAAACTGCACAAACAACTCGACCTCATAAATAGTTAAGAGACAGAGAATACGGGAAAAATAAAAATGTTATTCCTAGTCCCACATCCTGAGGCCTCCGGCGTCTATGTCCAGCGTTCGCCGGACTGTTTGTCCTCCGTCTCCGTCTCTGTCGCTCGCCTCCTGCGCCTGCAACTGTGTGCGTGCTAGCCTGCGTGTGTGTGTGTGTGTACCCTCTGTCTGCGTCCTGGATCGCTGACTTTTCCTGGTGCAGTGTAACAAGCTTGGCCTTTTTGCCGCCAAAAGGTTTCTTCAAATTTGTTTCGATTTTTCCGTTTTTTCGCACTTTTCTTTTAGGAAAACTTGCATAAAACTTCCATTTTAAAATGGCCAAAAATAATGTTATCTCAACGGAAAATTATTTTTTTTCTAATCCTATAATAAAGTTGCATACTAGCTTTTTAAAATTCCGCAAAATAATTTGTTTTAAAGTTTTTGTTGGATTCCCAATTGAACTTTTTGCAAAACCGATA